CTTAAAATTAAACTTACACCAAAACCAAACAAAACAGAAGCCCTGCCAGGGAGAGCTGCATATGTCTGTTGACTGCTGGTCTTATTACTATTGCTTTGGATGTTTTCCCTGGTTTGCAGTCTGGAGGTCTACAGCATCCATTCCAGGGGACACCCACTCAAAAAAGAGACCCCAGTCCCACACCCCAGACAACATCACCCTAGCCCAAAATCCCACTGCTGGAAATGACAGTGCCTCAGATAACATTGCCCCAACCCAAGACTTCGATCGATGCTGGAGATGACCTCACATCCTGTGCCACACATGACTTCGCCTCTTACACTGAAACCTCCCCCCGGCAGCACTTGCCAGTGGATTGCCTCTCCTAAGGCACATGATGGACACAGAGCATCTTTTGCTTTTCTTCCTGAACTCGCTGCGTGGTTGGCCCACAGTCCTGGTATTTTCCTTGCTCTCTGCTCAAAGGTACACCCCCATACTTCAATTTTTAAAGGCAAATCTGGCACTGGTTATGAAAATTAAGAGAGATGATTACTTTTCCCAGGAGGCACCTGCCTCATATCAGTCAACCACTTGACCCCCCGAGAAGAAGACCACCTATTCCTGGCTGCCCTCTCCTACTAACCACCTCCAGCCTTCTACCACAACTCCCTGCCTTGCATCTCCAACCCACAGCCACCATTCCTCTTGGTTAAACAGAATACCACTAATCTTTACATGTACTTGACTAAATTATCAGTTCATAATCTCCAACAACATAACCGCCCTACGCTAATGCTTACTTTGCTGGTTAAATGATCGTATTCCCCTTGCAGTCAATATCTCCACCACTCAGACTACACCTGGCTTCTATTTTTTTTTTTTTTTTTTTTTGAGATGGCTTCTATTTTTTAAAATGACGCAAGGCACCAGCACCATGACAGGAAGAGTCATACATTTGTTTAATCTACGTGCTGTCTTAGCACCCATTTTTAGAGCTGACATACGTTGTTGGAAACCCAGCCGTACCCTGCCACCTTTGGCCTAGAAGAAACGTTTCTTCCCGGTGTGGTTGTGTGTGATATGGCCAGTGTGTTCCTCATCTCACTAACCCAGAACCCAACACTTCCCACAGCTGCTGCTCACAATAAAACCTAATGGTCAACGCTAGAGTCAGGCAAATAAGTTGCCCCCTTCACATGTTTTTTTAAAACTAGCCAATCCACAACTGCCTCAGGAAAGCCTAAGGGATTATGCCCATAGAACTTAATAAAGCCACGGCCAGCAGGTTCTCTCTCTCTCTCTGTCTCTCCTTCTCTGCCTCTCTCTCTCACTCCCTCCTCTCCCAGCTGTTTGAGCTCCCTGCAATCTCTAGACTTCCCCTTCGGCCTCCCGTCCGCCCTCCTAACCTCTCCTGGATCTGTAAGTAACATATTTCTTTTATTTCATGCATTTTACATTCACCTCTTCATTGCGTCTCACCTGAACCACACACCCAAACATAACTTTTCCCCATCAGGGCTCTCCTAGAGTGGCTGTCTTGGCTTATGGCCACTCTTGACAGACTTCAAGACCAAATTAGAAAGAACCCATAACCATAAGGATCACAACACCCTGCCCTCCCTCGTTGCACACATTCCAACCAGACTCGACACTCCCTATTGAACTTGTCCATATTTTGCCACATCCGTGCCCCTATGCAAGCGACTCCCCTGCCTCGAATGCTCTCCCTCCTTCCCTATCAACCATGCACTACAGTCAGATCTGTCAGATGGGCCGTCAGTGATCATCTCAAGTGACACCTCTTCCATAAAGACTTTCCTAGTCCTTCCAACTAGCAATAATCCCATCCATCTCCTAAATCTCATGACATTAGATTTCGTTTGTCTCTTCTTCCTTTCTACCTTGCAGTGTCAACTCCAGAGTGTCTCTGGGACCCTCTGAGCAGCAGACTGGCTGGAAGAAAAGGCCAGAGACCGGCCTTAAGTGGCATTTGCACAAGTGCTGTGTTTTATTAGAATTCTATGCAGAGAGTTGCTGATGAGGACAGATAATGGAGCTGCTATGCAACCCCCCTGCTCAACCCTAGCCACCGAGGCCTATTGACTCTTTCTTCCTTTCTCCCACTAGACTGCAAGCGTCTAAGGACAGAGGCTGTGTTCCCCAAGTCAGTACCCGCTGCAGTGTCAAGCCCGGTGCCTGACATGGAGGAAGTGCTTGACAGAAATGCCTCTGGGAGGCATCCCTGCCAGAAGGAAACACAGCTTCTTCTGCTCTGTGCAGAGCAAGTAAGTCCTAGCACCTACTACCGGCTCTTGGCTCACTGAAGCCAAGGGTGGGAGTCAGTCAGTCCTTTCTCAGTACGTTCCAAGGAGAGTTGCTGACTTGCTCTTTCTTTAAGGTGCCCTTTTACTTTTGAACCTGAATTTTTCTAGAAAAATATAATGGGCAGGGCACCCAATCCAAAGGGATGGCCCCCAGAGGCAACCCTGAGTGAAAAATAAGGCCAATTCACTGTCACATTGCTTTGTCAATTTCACTATGAATCCACGTTCTGAGGATGCACTCTTGCCCAGTAGGCACCACCCCTCACTGGCAACAGACAGAGACAGCAAATTGCTCCACACCCCAGTAGCATAGCCTTTCCCCGTGCCGGGTGTGGTGCATCCCGGGAGAGCTTTCTCACACCAGGTGGCATCCAGGTGGATCTGGCGACCGCCCAGCAAGCACGTGTCCCCCTCACAAAAGGGAAGAAGAGGAAGAGTGGCCAAGAAGGGGTGGAAACCCCAGTTTTCCTTTATAAATTTAAGGCCAGATTTTAACCTCTCCCTTGGCAACTCTACACATCAGACAAGAAAGAAACTAATATAGATATTAGCCTTGTACTGACTTAGACTTTCACTTACCCCACCCCTTGTTTCTTAATGGCCTTTAAAAAAAAAAAAAAAAAACTCTTGAATCTAGGTTAGCCTGTTTCCTGTTCATATTAAGGAATCCAGGCCCTTTGCAGTAAAGAAAGACAATGATACCCTGGAGCTTTATATAAGGAATGTTTCTAGATTGTTGGTTGAAAGCATGTGCGTTTGTTAATTTGCACCCTAAACACACCTCACGGCTTCATTTAAACCTGAGCACTCTGTGTATTCCAACTGCCTATGCAGAGTTCCAACTTAATCAAGTACTTAATGAGTAGCATTAATATTCGTTGTCTCCTCCACGGGTGCCTGCACTCATCAAGGTAAACAGTTACTGGCAGCCTCCACAGCCCTTCGTTGAGCTGAGAATTGTCTGTCCTTATCTAGACAGCGGATTGTTTGTCCCCCACCATGGGAAAAGCCTGCTGGGTACTTTCCAAAGGCCTCATTTTAAAAAGACACGTTTCCACTTATAGACCTTTTAAAAATGCCAGGCAATTTGCAATAACAGTAAGAAATCTATTATCTGGATAACAGTCATTCAGATATTCTTGTAGTGTGCCAGGCACCATACTAAGTGCTAGGAATGCAGTGATGACCCCAAGGAGTCCTGGTTCCTGCCCTCATGATGCTTATGGTATAGTGGGAGAGGCCAACACGTAAGGAAAGGTCAATCTAATGAGCGCATAATTACAGAGTGAGCTCAGTGTTAGGAAGGAAAGGCATGGATGTGAGGACTCCCTAGAGGATGAGAGGATGGGGAAGATGTTGGAGCTGAGCTATGAAAGATGATGATGAAGAAATTGGTTATTCACTGAATGTTAGGGCACAGAATGTTAGGACAGGAAGATCACACACACACACCCACACACACACACACACCCTACTACTCATAGATGAGGAAACTGAGGCCCAGCAGAGCTAGATGACTTGCCCAAGGTCAGAGCTAATTCTAGAAACCCATACCCAATCCCTTCCTGCTAAACCACTTAATTTTATTTATATCCCAGCTATAGATTATCCAAATACACTTGACAAATAAAACGGAGAATATTGAGTTAAAACCACATCTCTCAAGACCACACGCATAAATAACGATCGTGTTTTAATGCGGACGATACCTTTTCATTTTGCAAATCCAGAGTTCTCATCATATCAAAATTCAAGACAGTTTGTTCTGTAAGAAGGGGAAGGTCATAACCCTGTCTAGAATGTACGGGCAAATCTCTCTAACCGTGCAGTGCTAATTTGGGCCTGAGCTGTGTAACCAGACCGACTTCACGCTCCAGCTGGGGTTTCAGATCCACACATGGCGATTGGATGGCTCTTTGCTGTTTCACAGCAAGGGTCCTTCCCTGGGCTCCCGGAGCCTCTGGGGATTTACTCCTCCCGACGTGGCCGTGTTTTCGCCACTGTGTGCATGCGCTGAATGTTGAAAACATTCTTTTGAAAAGCCCAGGAGATTCCACTCGCAATCTGTGCGTGTACATGTAAAAGCGCAGAGACTGGAAAGAACCGCGGCGGAGTACACCCTGACCGAACGTTACTCCCGGGGAGCCGCGGCCGTGGGAGGGAGTGCGATACTGTCTTCTTTTCACTCTAGACACTCCTGAGTTACGTAAAATTCTACGCAAGAATGTATTCGTGTGTTAGCATGTAATACATATGTATTAAGTTTTTTCAAGAAGACTCTTAAACAACAAAATCTCTATAGAACAAAGGTGCGTCTCCGCAGAGCGCAACAGCATTTGTCTTGCATGTAACCGCCTTCTCCAGAAATCTCAGAGGAACTCCCCTCAAAGGACACTGTGCGCTCCACCGCAACCCTGCGGGGCATTCGGAAAGTTGGTGGCGCCCCGGGGGGTGGCCGCACTTGCAGCCCGCGCCCCGTAACCCGAGCATTCAAGGAGTCCTGACTTGGCGGCTGGCACACTCCGCACCCACCCAGCCGGTCCTGATGCGGGAGGGTGGGGCCGCGGCGGGGCGGGGCAACGTGGGCCCGCACCCCGCTCCTCCCCGCCCTTCCCTGCCGGCCCCGCCCGCGCGCGCCCCCCGCCCGCGGCCCGGGCGCCCGGCCCGCCCCCTCCCCTCCGCGCGCAAACGAACCTCGCGACGCCTCGCTCGGCGGCTGGCGGGGGCCGGGCGAGGGAGGGGGCTGGCCCCGGCCGCCCTACTCTGCAGTTGTCTCCCGAGCGCTGGCTGCGCCGCCCGAGCCGCTGGGCCGGGGAAGCAGTGGTCGTTCGCTCCCGGGCCGGCTCCTCCAGGCGCTCGCAGGCATGCAGCCCGGGAGCAGGAGGCGCGCCCCGGGCCGCTGCTGAGCCGGCCGGGGCGGCGGGGACCAGCGCCAGCGGAGCCCCTCCCACCTTGCCCCGGGGCAGACGAGCGGCGCCCCGACACCCCCTCTTCTCCCACAGCCCCGCCAGCGCCACCCCCCGCGGGCCGCAGGGGCTCATGCAGCCGCCAAGGTAAGCGCGGGTCGGGAGCCGGGCGGACCCGGCTCTGACATCTCCCAGGCGCCGCCGACACTTGCTGGGGCCACGGCGCTGCTTTGGTCTTCCCCAGCCCCGCGTCTCATCTTGCTCCCATCTTGCCCACATTTGGAGCTTTGCTGCGCGCCTCGATCGCTTTAGCTGTTGGCAGCAGGAAAGTTTTTGTGGTTTGGTGTTTCTTCTTTTTTCCTAAAATACTCTAACCCCGGGCAGCCGCCAGCGCGCGTGGTTGGGCAGACCCGGCACACGTCCCTTACACCGTGTGCGGGCTGGGAACTCCCTCCCTCCGCCGGGCTCGCGGAGCCCGGGACTGAGCCGGCCACCCGGCTGTCCTGCCGTGAACCCCCATTGGCCCGCGCCGCCCGGGCCCCCGCCTCCCGCTCGACGCCCGGCTGCGGAGCTGCCTGGCGAGCTCCTGCCCTCGGGGACGTCGGCGCAGTGCACCGCGTGGGCTCGCGTCCCGGCGACCCTTTGCCTGGGCGCGTCGGCGTACGGGAAAGTGTGGACCTTGGGTTGAGGGCCGAGGATGCCCGTTGCCAAGCCGCCCCGGCGTTCCTAAGTGGATGGGTGGGCACGGCGACGATTCAGCGCCGGCTCGCGCCGCAGCTTAACCCAGGGGTAGAAGCCCGGGCAAGGAGACAGGTGTATTTAATGGGAGGGCCGGTGTGGGGGACGCTCGTGTGCAATTGGGAATTGTATCTTATTAATGTAATTGTATTAGACTTGCTCAGAGTTGGAATCATTTCTCCCAGATTGAGATTTTAATGGGAGCCTGTGAGCTGCTATTATGTGGTGTGGTTTTGGGAGGTGTTGGGTTGTATTTATTTTATAAATTCGGTGTCTTGCGGGCGGAGTAGGGGAAGTAGCGCCATCTAGCGGAAGTGGTGAGCTGTGCATTCCTCTTAGGCTGCGAAGTTGTGTGTTCTCAAAGGAGTCTCCTGCGCAAGGTGGAGAGGTGGGAACCAGCCCTCGCCTCCAGGCTAGAGGCTACAGTAGCTCTCTCGAGTATCAGCGGTACCAGGGGGGAAACCCCGACGTCCCATGCTCAGCACATTGAGCTCAGAGGACGAAATTACGGGTCGTGTTGAGTGGCATGCTGTCACCTAAGGGAGCTCCATCACCTTCTCCACCTGGTTTTAGACTCTTCCAGCAAAAACATAACATAAAATGTTAACTGCTGCAAGAAGATGCCCCTTCCTCAGGCATCTGGTGCAGAGATCTTGAAAATCAATTCACAACCCTCTCTTCTCCTGTGCATCACAAACAGGTGATTTCTTGGGTGGATTTTGAGCCATGACCCCTGGGAAGGAGAGTAACTGTGCTCCGAAGGGCAGCAGGAGGAGAACTGGGAGAGGGCCTCCTGCCCGTCTGTACAGGAACAGAATAGTGAACCCAAACTGGCTTTTTTTTTCTTTTTTGCACATACAAAGAAGGGGTTTCTTGCTGTTACCACAGCAAGTGACAAGCAAGCCCCCTTTACAGGGACATGATCTCCAGTTAACAACTGGGGCAGACGTGGCTGGATGGCAAGTCCTGCAGACAAAGGCTCTGTCTGGGTGGGGCACCCACACATCCAGGGCGGGCTGCACGTTCTCTGTGGCTGGTTTTTGCTGCCACCTTCCAGGCCAGATAATATATTATCAGTGAGCTGAGTTCACCCTGTTCTGAAGGGCACCCTGGCCCCTTGTAGAGCAGTGTAGTGGTCTACTGTAGTACCCCCTTGAGACTCTCTGGGCTGTGGTAGTAGTGAAAGAGGTCTTAGCCTCCTTTTTTCAAACATCCTGCTTCCATTATTTCCCTCCCAGGTGTCAAACAGGTGCTTACACTCTCCAATAGACTAAGAAATGGTGGGTGGCTGGTCTGCCCCCTCATGCTGTCTCAAACTGTGTCTTCGTTGGCAGGTATTTATTTCATCATGAGACTTGTGAACAAACAGGGTCTTAGAAGAGCTTGGCATCTCATTCAAGGAGAGCACCTTTGACTTTTGCTAAGAAATCTCTGTCTGCTTTCTCTTTTTACAAACCTCTCCCAAGGTATGACTTGCTGCTTCCCAGTGTATGTAATAATAGAGAATGAAGGCACAAGAATCTCCTGTTTAATACAGTCCCTTGCTCTTCGGCAGCCCTGTGAGAAGCCAAACACAAGAATTCTTAGATGAGCAGTTGCAAAATGAAATAAATAGGGACTGAGCATCCCTGACATTGGGACAGGGAGTTTTTCAGCCATTCTCCCAGGGATGCTTGCTGCTCCCAGGAAGCAGGCAGGAACGGGTGCTGGTATTTTCAGTTTCTCAGAAGAAACTGATGGTCAGAAAGCAGAAGGGATATGGCCAGGGTTCTGTGTTTCTAAAGTGCTTTTTTCCCCCTGCAACCTTGCTACCAAATGACTTAAGTTCTAGCGCTTGTTTTTACCAAGTATGGTTGCAAAATTTGTTCCTGCCTTGAAGCATGCAGTATAGACATGAAAGAAGGCATGGTCACCAATCCATCAAGAAGCCTGCCATCCAGGGAAAGAGGTAGGACGTATCCGAGTGCAATTGAGCAAAAACATACAAGGATTATCAGAAAGCAGTGCAGACTAATTGGAATCTGTTAGTTCTGTGAAATGAAATGACACTACTCCTTACAGGTAATTATTCTAGAACCTGACTTAAAATATCCCAAAGGTAAGTTTACTTAACTTTTAAGTGTCTGTGGTGTTCCTGTGGCTCTTTTAGGGAATGACTTTGCTTCTATTATTTAGCCATTCAACAAACTTAACTGAACATAAATTTAACCTGAAGAAGGGAAGCTCCAGGTTTCCCCGCCTGTTTGGTATCCAGCCTATCCAAAAGACAGGCTCCTCTTTTTCTTATTTTGAGCAAATGACTGCTCAGTTTCAGCCTCTCTTCTCTTAGCAACAGAGCTATAAAGGAGCAATGAATAGGGCAGTGGAAAAAATTAAGGATTGCCTTACTCAAGTATGCATACAAGGCCAGGCAGAAGTCAGTTTCCTTGGTGACAGATGAACAAATGAACTGTATTGAAAGGATACCCAGTTTCTTAGCCAGGTCTGTCCTGTGAGTAGAAGTGCTATATCATGTTAGAACCCAGGGGTCAGGAGGCAAGAATGCCTTAGTGAGGTGTGAAACTTTACAATTCTTAGGGCAGGAAGAAGAAGGAATTTTCAAATTGGGGCAGAAATTGACAAAATAAATGCAAATGACTTTTGTAACCTCATATAAAAATTTTTAAGTCACTGGTAACTGACTAACATAAAAATGTACTATGTACCTACCCAACTTACGAAATGATTATGTCCAGATTACTACAGTAAATAATGGAAGTATAGCAAACAGTTTATGCAGAGAGTGACTACAGAATTGCTGGTTGGATTTACTTTTTTCATTTTTCAATTGCTTGTTTAAAGCAGTGCTACAAGATGAAAAACTTTCAGAAAGCAAAATACTCGATTTGCCAGAGCCTGAAAATTAGGCAGAAAGTTTAAAGACTCTGTCAACTATCTGGTCAAAGGAGGCCAATTCCCATAGGTACTGTGTCCTCTGTGGGCCAAAACAGAGATCAGCGGGTGTGAGTAAAAATGCCTCAAAATTCATTGACTTCTGTCTTGGCAGGACGTTTTAGTAGTTACCATCTGTTGTGGCTTCTCCTTATATTTCATTTTTTCATCTTCATGGACTCTAAGATCAAGGTCTTTGTAGCAGCTTGCCCTGACTGACAGGAAGAGTTTGCTCTGTTTCCTGGTAGTGTTCCATTCTTCTGTCCTTGTAAACGGAGATATTCTGCCTAATATCTCAGTAAGAATTTTGGTAACTATTTTATTTTTGAAGATGGATGCAACCCATTTTTATCCTCTCTAGGTATGTTGAAGGATTTTCCCCTTGATGTCTTTAAACAAGATTAGGTGGAAGCATGCAACATACATATACCTACCCCTGAAGGCCCCTACACATCCCTCACATGACTAGTATTGTCAGCCACAGTGCATACTCTTCTTTAGGATTCACTCCACTATTAGACTTACATACCTTTCTCAACTCATCTGCACCATGTGTCTCTCCTCTCCAGATTGTCTATTCAAAATCCCTGAGATAGCCAGGCATGGTGGCTCACTCCTGTAATCCCAGCACTTTGGGAGGCCAAGGCGGGCAGATCACTTGAGGTCAGGAGTTCAAGACCAGCCTGGCCAACATGGTGAATCCCCATCTCTACTAAAAGTGTAAAAATTGGCCGGGTGTGGTGGCACATGACTGTAGTCCCAGCTACTCCGGTGGCTGAGAGAGGAGAATCACTTGAACCCAGGAGGCGGAGGTTGCACTGAACCAAGATCGTGCTACTGTACTCCAGCCTGGGCAACACAGCCAGACTCCATCTCCAAAAAAAAAAAAAAACCTTGAGATCTGATTGTTTGAGGTGCTTTCACAAAGTTTGGTTCTCTCTATCGAAGTCTGACCCACTTATAAGCTTATAAGAATAGAAGACCTTGCTGATGAATTTTGCCTTGCAGGAATACCATTCTACCTGTTCAAATGCTCGTCTAAAAGAGGCTTGCTCAAAAACATCTCCGGGACAAATGCTGGGGCCCTCTCAGTCACTTAGAAATGTGCTGCCAGTGTGCATTTTCAGCACTGACAGTGGCAGCCTGAAGAACAGATTGCCCTCGCAAGAACATAACCACTGGACTCTCTCTTCTTCCACACAGGGTTTTTTCTGGTTGTCAGAGCACACAGAAATGCCCGTTTCATTCTTAGAATCATAAAAAGTTACAGGGTTTCCTCAAAATAATTGGTACCTTGAAAATAATAATTAACATTTGTTTGGAAGTTTTGGTGTCTAATGTGCTTTCATTTACATTTTGGTTTAATATCCTTTATGGAAAGAGGTAAAGCATAAATAATAAATAGATTTTTTTGTGCAATTGCATTTTCCCATGTGAGCTCCCATTTATTGATACAAGGGAAGCAAAGCAAAAAGAGAA